AATGTCAAGCCAATACCAAAAAAAAAAAAAGATGAACCAGACCCTACCTCTTAATAATCTACCATTTTCCAATACCACCTCTCCGAGGAGTAAGGCTTCATCACTCCATGGGCCTTTGGGGGACATTTTACATCCAAGTATAGCAGTCCATCCTGATCCTGGAAGGCTCGTGCAGTCTATCTTAAAAGAGTTTCCAAAATATTAATTGCTCTAGTGTTGCTCAGAAGTTCAAGTCCAGCCGGATGTGATGGAACACGCCTATAATCCCAGCACTTGGGAGACTGAGGCAGGAGAATGATGAATTCAGGGCAAACCTGGGCTACATAATGAGTTTGAGGCTAGCCTCAACTACATACTAAGACCTTTTCTCAAAAAATAGACAAATAGGGATTTAGCTCAGAGGCACCACACCTGTCTTGGCAAGCACAAAGTCCTAAGTTCCATCCCCGGTACACACACACACAAAAAATCCAGACCTCCCCCCAAAAAAAAATCATCCAAATCCAGTCTTCTCTGAGGCTCAAGACAAACTCAGCATTTCTGCCCTATAAATCTCAAAAAGAAAGATACAGTGGGAAAGAGTAAACATTCCAGTTTCAAAAGAGAAGAATAGGGCATAGAAAGGAGGGATCAGACCAAAGCAGGACCAAAACTCAGCAGGGCAAACATTAAATCCTACAGCTGCTTATTTGGCATTCAGTACACACTAAGGTACATTATGGGCTTGCAAAGGCTTGGACAGCGCTGCCCATGACTCTGCTGGCTGTGGCCCACATGACCATGCTCAAGGGCTGGCTTAGCAAGCTGTCTGCAGCTTTTCTCAGCAGACATTCCACATTCCTGGCATTCTGTTTTCCCTGGAACTCCACTAGAGCTTCAGCTTTACTCACAGCTCCAGCTCCATGGATCACCCTGTCAAGGATCTGTTTGTAGGGACTCAGACCCTGCCAGAGGCTGCATGGTCTCCCAGCCTTTCCTCTGAAATCTCAGTGGAAGCCTCTGTGACCTTTCAATGCTTATTTTCTCCATGCTGTTAAAACCAGCATTGTATGAGCCATACTAGCACCTGTATGCTAAGCCTGCATTCTGGTACATCCTCAAGCTCCATAATGGTGTTTCTAAGCTACTTCTTTTAAAGTTTTTATTCTCATTTATGCTTACTAAAGTCTGCTTAGTTTTGTGGTCAGCTAATGATTAGACTTAAATACCTGGAAGCAGAGCCAGAAGTCTCCCCTTCTTTGTTGAGGGGCTCTGTGTTCTCATTGGGGCACACCTTCAGAACTCAGTTTACAGCTACTCATTAGCTTTCACTTCCTACTTGCACCAGAGGTTCAAGGTTAGCCAGAGGTGGGAGTTTAAGGTCTCAGGTCTTTCCCGAATGTGCCCTCATCTCATACACATGGCCTTCTGGATTCCCAGAAGCACTTTAGCAGTAATGACAAAACTTTTAACGACCAAATGCCCAAACTATAGCTCAAAATCCTTATTTATCACAGAGTGCCAACACTGCAGCTAAATCTGAATACTGTACTGAGGTTTTAGTTTAGAAAAAACAACTCACACATTAACATCTTCTGTCCTGAAAACACAGTAACAGAGCTTTCAGTGACACAGCTTTTTATTGAAAGGTAAAAGTTTGCTTTTAGTATGCTTTTCCACAATTAATATGATCTTTGTTGTATGCGTGCACTTTGTCAGACCTTGGTGAGGGTGACCTGATTCACATGCCAACAGAGAGGGCTCTGTGGCACGCATACCATAAGTTTGCCACCACTGCCTTAGAGCTTTTCAAAGTTCACCCTGTGGACATCTCATTCCTTAGCCTTTCCTTTTCAGCTTTTTGTTAGCTTGTTTACTTTCAGTTTTACCTGCTGTTATGGGCAGTTGCTATGCTGAGTAACTGCCTGATTGTTAGGACAAGCTCTTGGGGGAAGACTGTTAGCACTGGATAAGCTCAGATATGGGTCAAATAAATTCGGCCTTAGTGGTGAGTTGTTCAAATGAATCACAGATAGGTCAAATGATAATGCTTTCCTGGAATAGAAAAATCTCCAACCCTTTCTGCCCTTTCAGTGGCTTCCAAGCTGCTTGTTTTCAGTGTTTGCAGCTGTTGGTTTTTAGGACTGCTGTGAAGGTTGAGAGAGGAGAATGGGAATAGGGTGATTAAAGGTGACATGAAGCTCGCTGCTTATCAAAATACAGCCATTTTTCTTGAATAATTGCACCCTGATTATTTGAAGCCTTTGGTTAATTTCCACAATTCATTTCCAGAATTCCAAAGAAGATGACTCTGAGCATTTTGCTAGGACTCTTTTTGCTTTTATGGAGGAAATACTTTTTGGAAATCCATCAGCATTTTGCTGACATCACTTTAATATGAAGAATTTACACCACATCTGAAAAACAAATAATGAGTATTTTCTTGTGACACATTAATTTTTAACTATTTTATTGGTTTCATTTATAATATATTTCCTTAATCTGTGTAAAACATAGTAGTGTTCTGTAGATTTTCTAAACACATAAGTTAGTGGGTATACTTTGATTTACAACTTGCTTTTTTTCCTTAGCTGTGTGTCTTGGATCTTTCTACTATTTTTCATATATAGAGATACATGTTTATTTCTGTGCTATTTCATGGTATAAATATATACCATAGAATTCTTATGGCATAATTGATGGTCTTTTATTTAGTTTATGACAGTCAAGGGAACTAGAAACAGTGTTACAACTAACCTTTTTGTATATACAGTACCTCTTTGTACAGTACAGTGCCTGATACTATCTGGGGTGGCTACCTCAGTAGCATTTTGCTTGATTGAAAAATGCATGCGTTAAAATATTTAAGAATACTTTAAAACTGTCTTCCAAAAGCATAAACTTATTTACATTTCCAGTAGTGGTATCTGTGAGAGTAACTCTTCCAACGTGTTCAGCAATACTGAATGTTAACAATCGTAAAAAGTTTTGAAAGTCTGGGCAAGTATATTTTGTTGATTTTTAAAATTTGCATTTAAATTATATTTTAAAGGACAGTTCCTTGGCTACAGTAGTAATGCTTTTAATCCTTTTATTTGTTCTCTTTAGGGGATGGCTTTTACATTACAGGAACGACAAATGCTTGGTCTTCAAGGACTTTTACCTCCTAAAATAGAGACGCAAGATATTCAAGCCTTACGATTTCATAAAAACTTGAAAAAAATGACCAGCCCTTTGGAAAAGTAAGAGTTGGTTAGATGTTCATTTTGTACTGATATTTTGATTAGAAACACTCTGTTATAGTTATTATGATATGAGAAATACAGTCTTACAGTGAAGTTTGTGTTTTTATCATTGAACTATTTTATATGATTGTTCCCTTTGAGAACCTTACCCATGTTTACTCTTGTAAAACTTACAAATCAGTGCTTATGCTGATGATCAGTGTATTTTATACGTGCATGGAATATTAGAGGCATAGAATATATCCAATTTGCACCTATTTACTCAACAACTTTTATTGGTCACCTACTTTGTTACATTCTGCTATACACTCTGATATAAAGTGACAAATAGTTCTGGAGGCCAAGAAGTCCCAGGGTGAGGGACTGCATCTGGTGAGGCCTTCTTGCTAGTGGAAACTCTGCAGAGGTTTGAGGACATCATATAGGGAGGGCTATTAGAAGAGATGACTTTTGTAACAGACACCCTACTGATAACTAACCTACTCCTTTAATAACCCATTAACCAATGAAAAGATTCATTCATGCATGAGGGCAGAGCCATTATGACCCAGTCACCTCCTAAAGGCTCCATTTTCAAATGTAAGACCTGTGAGATTGTTTCTAACACACAAAATATGGGAAATACATTCAGACTATAGCAATAACCAACCCAGTAGCATATAGCAAGCACTGCCTTCTAGTAGCTCATCAGCAGATAGTTATACTAGGGCTGTCATTATATGATATACTACAGTGTAGACTTATCGTGAGAAAAATGTGCAGGTAGGATGTATTCTGAAAGCATGGGAAAGCCCAACATGGACCAGATAAAACTTCCTGAAGGAAATGATGCCTGAGCTAATGCTTAAACAGTATGCTGCAGGCATACTGTCAAAATGAGCAAAAAGGCCGAGTGTGGTGGTGCATGCCTGTAATACCAGCACTGGGGAGGCTGAGCCAGGAGGATCGTCATGAGTTCAAGGCCAGCCTGAGCTACGTAGTGAGTTCCAGACCAGCCTGAACTACAAAGAGAGACCGTGTCTCAAAAAAGAGGGGGCGGGGGGAAGACAGGGACAAGTATTCTAGGAGTAGATAAAGGGAACAATCTGAATATAGGATGAAGATGTCTGCTAGAGTTGTTAGGTACAGAGCATTTTGATGACTGGTAGGAGTGGTTTCTTTGATATGATGAAGCAAAGAAAAAAAGGCCATGATAGATTGAAAAAATGAATGGAAGGAGGGAAAATGTAAACTATTTTCAAAATGTTCAGGAAGGGGAAGAAAGATACTGAGCATAAGTAAAGTCAGGCTTGAGTTTAAGTGCTGCAGCCTAGGAGAAAGTTAAACATGGTAATATGGTCATATCTCCGGGAGAAAGGATAACTGCTAGAACAAGGCCCAAGAGAAATGAAAGGGGTGAAGTGCAGCGGTAGAGAGGCTGTCTTAAATTAGAGATATAAATACAGATAGTAGTAAGGAAATACACCCTGGTGATAGGACAGAGGTTAGAAGATCTCATCATACCTAATGTCCTGGACATACTTCCTTGCCCTCATATCTTCCACTGATTCCTTTATGACACAGAGTGTGAAAGTTACAAGTAAGATTTAGAAAGGCCAAGGTGGAATAAAGTTCGTGAAGAGAGTGATAAATGTTAGAAGAGCTGCCCAGTTACAGATAAAGGTGAACAAGGTTAGACAGGTTAAAGGGGTGAGAGCAGACCCTAAAGGCTTTCTTGGCATGATTTGTTTGTATTGGTGCCATTCTGCACCATGATGTTCTGTTTCCACAGAAAAGAAGAAATGTGACATTGATTCAGGTTGGTTGGGATTTGGTTAGCTGGCAAAGATGCTATATTAATTCATTCATCTATTCATTCCAGGCTGTTAGGTGCTAGGCATTTTTCTAAGCTGTACCACAAAAATGAAAAAATACAGTCTTCCTTTCAGGGAGTCATTCTCTGGTGGAAAAGGCAGACACTGTGGAAGGGCAGTGCAGTGATAAAGGGACTGAAAATTCTTAAACGGTAGCAATAGTACTCAGAGTAAGATAATTCATTGTGGGATCTAGGGAAGGGAGCGAAGAGGAGCCAGAGGGAAGCTAATAGAATGGGGGAAGTGAAGACATCAAAAACTAAAGATCACTTGAAGAATTATGAAGTGAAGACATAGATGGGGGCAGGACCATTGTGAGGAATACAGAAGAGTGGCTAAAACGGCGATAGAAGTGACAACATTAAGTAGGTCCAGTATTACACAGAATCCTTTTGTCACTGTCAGCTACTTTTCTCTCATTGCTGAGACAAAATACCTGATACCCAAAGATACAGGGGAAGGGGTTTATTTGGCTTAAAGTTTGTAGAGGTTTCAGTCCATAGTCAGCTAGCCAGGAGGCTGGGATGGCAGACAAGCATCTCAGAGGAGAAACAACATGGTGCACACAAAGCAGCAAAGGTAACAAGAGGGTTTATTAGTATCTTTCTGCCCATTTTATCTCATTCAGACTACCGGGATTAGGGCGGTGCCACATGAACTACTCACATGTACTGGTTTAGTAATCACACGCCCTAACCCCAGCATCACACATTCCAGGTTCAACTACCTCTGAAAAAGAAAGTCCCACCTCATCTGCCTGAGGCTTTGGGGGACATCTGAATACAAACCATAACAGTCACCAACCTTTTTTTTGGGTAATTTTTATTAGTACATGTTTGCAGGACATAATGATTATGTGCATTGGGGGGAATTAGTACATGTATATATGTACCTAACAAATCTCAGTTCTTTTTTTTTAAACTGTTTTTTTTTTTTTTGTCAGCATCAGATTTATTTTATGTCTTTGTCAGGTTAATTATCATAAACAGATTAACTGCCAGACTATGACTAAAAAAACAAATGAAACAGTTATACTAAATTAAGGTGCATATTCAGATACATTGACTAGGCTTGATTACAATAACTTTTTCCCTTTTATATTTTCTTTTGCACTTTATTTATATATTAGGTTTTCCACAGACAAGAAACCCTGCTATATTTTAGATTATTTGTCTTATTTACTTCACTTAACATTATGGTCTCAAGGTTCATCATTTTCTTACAAGTAACTCAAGGTTATCCTTCATGGAAGTGTAGTGCTCAGTTGTATACGTTTTCTTCATCTGTTCATCTCTTATTTATACATGTGCTATTTCTAAGATTCAGCTATTATGAATTGTGCGGCTATAAGCATAGATATACATGTATTGCTGTAATATGATGTCTTTAACTCTGTCAGGAGGCTGCCTGGAAGGGAAATAGCTAGATCGAATGGAATTTCTATTTTTAGTTTTTTGAGGAATCTCCATACTGATTCCATAGTGGTTATACCAGTTTGCACTACCACCAACAATGACTAAGTGCCCCACACACACCTTGGCTATGCCAGTATATGTTATTGTTTAATTTCTTGGAGATCCGTATTCTTTCTGGAATGAAGTAGAATGTTGCCATTGTTTTAATTTGCATTTCTTCAATGGCCAGCAATGTTGAACATTTTTTCATGTATTTATTGGCCATTTATACAGCTTTATCTGATGCCTTTTTTTTTTTTTTTTTTTTTTTTTTTTTTATAGGATCAAACTCAGGACCTTGCGCTTGTGAGACAGGTGGCGGCACCACTGAGCTATATCCCTGGCCCCTCAGATGCCCATTTTTTGGTGGGTCTTTAAATTTGGAGAGGTCTAATTTTTTTTGAGTTCTTTATATATTCTAAATATTAATCCTCTGAGGTGTAGCTGGCAAAAGTCTTTTCCCATTTTGTAGGTTGTCTTTTCATTCTTGGTGTTTTCCTTTGTTGTGCAGAAGGCTTTTAATTTGACGTGATTCTATTTGTGGATTCTTGATATATTTCTTATACAATTGGGATTCTGTTCAGAAAGTCCTTGCCAACACCTATGTCTTCAAGAGTCTTACCTATTATGTCTTCCAGCAGAATAAATGTTTGGTTTTTTGTTTTTTATTTTTTTGGTACCGGGGACCAAACTCCGGTCCTTACACTTACAAGGCAGGCACTGGAACCACTGAGCTAAATCTCCGGCCCATGTTTGTTTTAATATTTAGATCTTTGATCCATTTTTATTTTAGTTTAATGCATGGTTAGAGATATGGGTCTAAGTTCAGTCTTTGACATGTGGATAGGCAGTTTTCCTAGCACCATTTGTTAAAAAGGTTATCTTTCCTCCAGCAAAAGTATTTGGCCCTTTGTAGTTCTGTCTGGAGTTATTTCTGTATCCCCTGTCCTGTTCCATTGATCCACTAGTCTTGATTCTTTTTTTTTTGGTTGTTGTTTTTCTATATTTTTTTTGCCAAATACCATACTGTTTTTATCACGGTAGCTTTTTGGTATAACCTGAAGTCTAGGATTTGATACCTCTTGAATTGCTCTTGTTGCCAAGAATTGCTTTTGCTATTCTAGCTCTCTTCTGGTTCCATACAAATTTTAGGATTGTTTTCTCTACTTCCATGAAGAATGCTGTTGGTATTTTAATTGCATTAAATCTGTATAACAGGGCCAGGGATTTGGCTCAGTGGTTCCACTGCCTGCCTTGTAAGCACAAGATCCTGAGTTTGAGCCGTGGTACCAAAAAAAAAAAAAAAAAAAAAAAAACAATCCGTGTAACAGTTTTAGAAGTGTGGCTGTTTTGATTATCTTGGTTCTGGCTGTCCAGGAACAGAGGATATCTTGCCATTTTCTGATGTCCTCTTTGATCTCCTTTTTCATGGTACTGTAGTTTTCATTGCTTTTTTTTTTTTAATTATTTGTTTATTTTGGAGAGGTTGTTTGTTTTTGTTTTTTGTTTTTTGTTTTGGTACCAGGGATCAAACTCGGGGCCTTGCACTTGCAAGGGAGGTGGTGGAATCACTAAGCCAAATCCCCAGCCCTATAGTTTTCATTGTAGAGGTTGTTCACTTCCTAGGTTAGGTATTCCTAATTATTTCATTTTTCTTGATGTTATTGTGAAAGGTATTATTTCTGTAATTTTTCTCTTGGTGAGTTTATCATTGGTTTACAGGAATGCTATTAATAGTTGAGTGTTGTTTTGTATTCTGCTACACTACTGAATTTGTTTATTCTAGAAGTCTTTTTGTAGAGTGTTTGGAATTGTTATGTAGAAGAGTATGACATCTGCAAGTAATTAACTTCTTCCCTTCCTATCCATAAACCTTTTATTTCTTTCTTTTGCCTAATTGTTATAGCTAATATTTTAAAAACTATATTGAACAGGAGTGGTGATAGTAGACATTCTTGTCTTGTTCCTGATTTTAGCAGGAAAGCTTTCAGCTTCTCTCTACTTAATATGATGTGAGTTTGTCATAAATGTCTTTTATCAGATTGAGATAAAGACGTTATAATTGTTTTCGTCAAGGTTTTTATCAGAGTAGATGTTGGATTTTGTCAAAGTCTTTTTCTGCATCTGTTGATTTTTGTCCTTGCTTCTGTTTATGTGTGTGTTACATTTGTTGATTTGCATATGTTGAACCATCCCTTCATCCCTGAAATGTATCCTGCTTGGTATTGATGTATGATCTTTTGATGATTTGCTGCATTCCATTTGCCAGTATCTTACTGAGGATTTTTGCATATATGTTCATTAAAGAGATTGGCCCCGTGGTTCTTTTTCTGTTTGGGTCCTTTTCTGGTTTTATTATCAGAGTAGTGCCAGCTTCCATGAATGACTGCGAGTATTGCTCCCCTTTTAATTTCATTACAGAGTTTGAGGAGTACTGGCATTAGATCTTTAAATTTCTTATCTGTTAGGTTCTGGACTTTACTTAGTTGGTAGCTCTTTAATTCCTTCTTAATTTTACTGATACTGAGTTATTTAGGATTTTTATATCTTCCAGATGTAAATTTTTTTGTTTCTTAACATTTCTTGCTGTCTCTTATAAAGTTCTTTTCCATCTTAGTAGCCTAGTTATTTGATTACTTCCCTATAGTGAGAAATCTCTCCTTTTAATTATTGATGTCATTTCTGCCTCTACTAGCCATGTAGTCAGTATAATTCATTATCTAAATTATTCATTTCCACTTATCTATCAAATATTTACCCACCAGTTGGAAGCCATATACTTTGTTTGTTACTGGAAATGCAGAAGTACAGGTGCCCCTCAGTTTATGATGGGATTACGTCTCAGTAAACCTATCATAAATTGAAATTTTAAAGTTGAAAGTTAATTTAATGTTCAGACCATTGAACATCATCATAGCAACACAGTGCACTGTAGAATCAGTTAAAATACTCCTGATTTTGTGGCTGATGGGAAGCTATAGCTCACTGAAGCTGCCCAGCATGAAGAAAATATTCTATATTATCATGGAAAAATATCAAACTTTGAAGTAAAGTTAGCCCTCGGTGTCCACAGGGAACTGATTCCAAGACACTCCTTCCTGGGGACACGAAAATCAAGGGTTTATTATATGCATATAACACACACATTTTCCCATTTACCAACAACCTCTACTTAGGATGGTTCAGTTTAGCATTTTTCAACTTTATAATGATGTGAAAGTGATATAAAATTGAATGCAGAAGACACAGTAGGGTGTTGTGTGACCCAAACACCGGAATATCTGCTGTGTATATGTTTGTGGTGGGGAGGGGAGAGGAGACACCACCTGAACTGCATTAAGAGACTTTCCTATAGGGATAGGCCTGGATAGAGGTGATCAGCCACAGGCTGCATCAGATGCAGCACCTCCAAGGGAAAAAGTGTGACACATTTGAAGAAATGGAGTAAATCAGTGTGGAGGAGATGAGACTTGAAGGTAGGCAAAGGTTTTATTAACCACATTAGGAGCTTGAACCTTATTTTGCTGGCACATAGACGCCATTTCAAGATAATAGAAGTGATCACAGAGTTTTTAAGAGGATGGATCATGGGCATGATGGCACATGATTGTAATCTCAGCACTCTGGGAGGCTGAGGGAGAAGGATCACAAGTTTGATCCCAACCTGGGTGATTTACCAAGACCCTGTCTCAAAATAAAACTTTTTTTTGTTTGTGTTTTTGAGACAGGGTCTCACTATGTAGTTGAGTCTGACCTGGAACTCACTATGTAGCCCAGGCTGGTCTCGAACTCCCAGCGATCCTCCTGCCTCAGCCTCCCGAGTGCTGGGATTACAGGCGTGTGCCACCACGCCAGTCTATAAAACATTTTTTTAAAAAGTCTAGGGATGTAGCTCAGGTGTGAAGATCCTGGGTTCACTCCCCAGTAATACCTCCCACCCCTACCCACACACACAGAAGAATGGATGGGATTGGAGCTGGGAAGGAAAATTGTGTAAATAAAAACTAATTACTGTAAAGGGCTCTGGAATAGTCTAAGTGAAAAGTGATGGTGGCTTGAATTGGTTGCACATGGAAAGATGGATGTAGTTAAAAGATATTTACCAGGTAGACCCTAGTACTTGGTTATTTATTAGCTTGGGGTATGGGAGAATTGCAGAGGATATCAAGAATGAACTCTTGGCTCTTCATTTGGTCAGATGATAGCAGAAATAAGTTGGGAGGAATTTAGAGTCAGTGTTAGACATATTTAATTCAAGATGATTTCTGGCTTTCAAGCCAATATTTTCCTGGTCTTCAAACTTTGTTAATATCATTATTACTTTTTGGTTTTTTGACACAGAGTTCTGCTGTGTAGTCCTGGCTGGCCTCAAACTCACAATCCTGAACCTCAGACTTCTGAGTGCTGGCCTTACAGGCATGTGCCACTGTTACCTGGCTCAAACTTTATTTAAGAGAAATCATTTACATATATATATATA